TACATTTTGGGCATGACAAGCTGGTTTGTCTAAGCTTCCAGTTCTCTTTTGATTTTATATTGGAGTAGCTTTTGTCTTCAGGAGTTCTCACAGAGGCTCAAATCAGATGAGGATCAGATGCTTCTCAGGCTTTTTCCTAACGTCTGGATCCCTCCAGGAAAGATGTTGTCCTCAGGAATTTTGGGGTTGGACTGGCCTGGGAGCAGGGCCCAAGAAAGATGTTGGTCTTGGACAGCTAGTGGCCATGCCACCCAGACATGCAAAGGGAGATGGGTGCAGGAAGAGGCCCCAAGTTTTCATGGGAATTGCAGGGAGGAACTGGGTTGGTCTGGATGCAAAGGTTCAGGAAGCCAAGAGGTCAGCCCAGGTGTCCAGGAAAGAGGCTGGTGGGTTATGTAGCCCAGGGAAGCAGAGGGAGGTGAGGGCAGGACCAGGCCCAGAGGGCTCCTGGGGACCCAGAGAAGGAATTGGGTTTGTCTGGATGCAAAGGAAGCAGTGGTGGTTCCCCCGGTGTCTGGGGTGCCAAGACAAGGTGTGGGACAGTACCCAGGCTAGGAGAAGAGTGGGGTAGGGGGACCAAAAGGGGCTGGGGGAGTCAAGGCACAGAGGGCGTGATGAACTTACCCAGGAGAGAGGCTGGCAGGCCCAGGGAAGCAGAGGGAGGTGAGGGCAGGACCAGGCCCAGAGGGCTCTTGGGGTTCATCTGGATGCAAGGTATCAGAAGCAGTGGTGGTTCTGGGCCTAGAGGTCAGCCCCAGTGTCCAGGAAAGAGGCTGATGGGTTTTGCAGCCCAAGGAAGCATAGGGTCGGGACCAGGCCCAGAGGGCTCCTGGGGACTGTGAGAAGGACCTGGGTTGGTCTGGATGCAAAAGATCAGGAAGTGGTGGTTTCCCCGGTGTCTGGGGTTGCCACGACAAGGAATGCGACAGTACCCAGGCTAGGAGGAGAGATGGGCAGGGCAGGAGGGAGGGTGAACAGGGCTGGGGGAGTCAAATCATGGAGGGCATGGTGAACTTACCAAGGAGAGAGGCCGGCGGGTTGTGCAGGCCCAGGGAAGCAGAGCAAATTGCCCATATTTAAGCCACCTAGCCTGTAGTATTTTGTTAGAGCAGTCCGAGCTGGCTAGTACACTCATAAATATGAGGGTTATTTCTCTTATCTTAGGTATATCCTGTTGGTGTGTATGTCTGCCATTATGCCAGTGATCAATTTTGACTTGTAGGAAAAATCAGAGTTGGAAATTTGTTTTTTATGTATTAAATTCTAGGTGCCTTTTAGATACAAGTATTTAGTTACTTGCTAATACTCTTTTTGCCTGTATTCAGAATCATGTTTACTTTAGCATAAAACATTGTCTTTGGATAATATAAACAATTTTAAATAATTGACATTCTTCATTTTGTTTTTGTTTTTTTACACTTATTTTCATTTATGTGTGCGTGTTTGCATGCTTTGCTCATGCGTATGTGCCATGGTATGCCTTTGGAGGTAAAAAGACAGTTTGTGGGAATTGGTTCACTCTTCCACCATGTGGGTTCCAGGCACTGTCTGGTTGGTAGTAGGTGCCTTTTCCCTCTAAGCCATCTTGCTGGTCCTTCTTTTTATGCTCGAACAGTTGCTAGAGCGGTCTGTTTTTCTTTATTATTTGAGTTTCTAATGTGTGAAACTCCTATAATTTAACAGCTATTTTATGCATGATTGGGTAAATTTAGTAGTTTCTAGTATAGATAATAGACTTCTTATTGAGTTCAAATATCAATTTAAAATGTACGTCTTTCCCCCTATGGTGGAATTGTGATAAGAACAGATTTGGTAGTCAAGCCAAGTCTGCCATCTCTGACTGTGAACTTGTACTAATTACTTACCATTCTCCAACTTATCTGAAAAGTAGATATACTAATATAAACCCATATACTAATGACAAAGTCAATTGTGAAGTGTAAATGCAATAGTTACAAAGCCTTTAGCTCAGTGATCTGGCACACAGTAAACATTACACACATTTTAATGGATATTATTCATAGTGGTAAACGCTGTAAACTGATGGCTTTCCACATCTAAAAGAAAATCCTGGGGATAGGTCAGCATTTTTATACATTAGGAAAAGGAAAAATTGCATCAGTATTATCCTTTATTTGCTGTCATTAAAAGTGTTAGGGAAGAAAAGATTGAGTCAGTGATCACATGAGGGAGTCAGAGAAGCTCTGTACTTGGCAGGAAGACATAGGCAGGGCTCTGCCTTCTGGCTCTGCATTACTGTGTTTTATAATTTTGTTCAGCTTTGGTTTTCTCAATTTGAACAAGGAAGTTAGAGTAACTGGCTTTGTACTTCATAGCATTTCACAGTGCTTTATTTTAAGCATTTAATCACACTCTATTAATGTGTTAGGTTAGTCATGGCATGTCTGTGTTATATAAGCTCCTTGAAATTTGACTGTCTGATTGATGTGCACATTACAAGTGGTATCTCATCTAGTGTTTTGCATATAGAAAGTGCTTGTGATATCCTGCCCCTTAATATTCTTTTATATTGCTCCTTATTCTGCAATAAGTACTTTGGTGTGTACCTGGGTTAGAGTGTAAAATACAGTTTTTGAAAGTTGTTTCATATGTAGTGACTTCCAGTATGGCTTATGTGTCACTTGAAAATGGTGCTTGTTTTATGACCTCAAGATTAAAATTCACATGAAAATCATAAAAAACCTGATTTTTCCAAGATTTAACATTGTGTTGTGAGAGCACATGTACCTGTGAAGGGCGGGGGCAGGACCTTGGAGTTTTCAGTATAGCATCAGTGACTGGAAACTGCTGGCATAAAGCATGAGGCTAGTGTGAAACAGCACAGAGGAACAGGTATTACCTCTGTTCTCTCTGCTACATCCGGCTATTACTAAGATAGAAGTAGGTAGGCAGATGTTTTTATTGTTGTTTTAACCATATTTTCTGCATCCTACGTAGGTATTGAACCCAGGGCTTTGTTCATGCTAAGAATGCACTCTACCACTGAGCTACATGCCCCATCTCTGTATTTAATTTGATTTATTTATTAAGATGAGGTCTTACTATGTTGCCTAGTCTGGCTATGAGCTCTTGGACTCAAGTGACCTTCCTGCCCGGGATTGCAGGTGTCTGCCACTGTGCTTTTGTACTCTTGATGCTCTGATACCTGGGGTCTCACTCACTGAAGAGAGACTGCCCCTTCCAAGGTTGGTTAATCCTAGATACAGTAAATGACTTGACTGTGAATACATCTTTGATTTGCAAACCAACCAATCATGAGTCCATGAGAACACTCCAAATACCTCCCTTTCTGCATCTGCTTCTAATGCTCTAGGAGGCAATATTCCCCTTTTCTTATCATCCCAGGGCCATGTAGCAGACAGAGATCACACTCACATGGCTGCCAACCCTATCCTACTCCCGTTTAGCTGCCACCCGACCTTGCTTACTCATTCTTACAGAAACCACAAGCAAGCCTTTTGCCGGTGTTTTCTCATGCTCCTCCTTTCTCCTGACCTGTTCTGCTTTCCGATATGGCCCTGCATGGCATGGTATACCAGTTCTTTTGGGGAATTAAAAACAACAAATTTTCAATGGAAAATTGTTGTTCAAATTCTCTTGATTTGTTGGCCTCTCTACAACTGAGCAAAACCAGAATCCCTGGTACGGTTTTAAACACTGCACTCCCATGTCTACAACTGAATGTAGCTTGAAAAAAATACACCCATGCCAGCTAGATTCACCTTAAATTGATGACTGTCAACCCCAACTAGGCACCCAGTGCCAACCTGCCCTGTGGGTTTTGTCCTTCACTCATTTATTTGCTATGTAACATTGACTTCCTTGTGTCTAACCACTCCCCAATTCCTGAATAAACCCTAACTGGGTGTGCTGTATAATATTTTATGTGCTGAGCGATTCTTTTTGCTGTTATTTTACTGAGGGTATTTTTCTTTTCCTGTGATGCCTTTGTCTGCTTCAGTAATATCAATAATACAGGCCTTAGAGGGCAAGAGAATACTTTGGGGCATGTTCCTCTTCTACTTTTTAGAAAAATTTATGACAGATTAATGTCAGTTCTCTAAGAATTTGGTAAAATTAGCCAGGCATAGTGGGCACATTGTTTAATCCCAGAACTCAGGAGGCAGGGGTAGGCAGGTCTTTTTTGAGATTGAGGCCAGTCTGGTCGTAGTTTCAGGCCAGCAGGGGTACAGGGAGACATTGTCTCAAAGACCAAAGAAAAACAAAACAAAACAAAAAATTGGTAAAATTTACAGTGAAGCCATCTAGTCTTATTTCTGTTGTTGTTTGTTTTGTTTGCAGGGCCTCATTCATGCATGCTAGGCAAGTGCTCGCCACTGAATTACATCTCCAGCCACTGTGGGAAGTTTTGTGTTACTAATTCACTGTTTGTTCTACTCAGATACTGTGTTTCGTCATGAGTTGGGCTTGGTAATATGTGTCTTTCTACAAATTGTCAATTTCTTCCAGGTTGTAGAAGTTTTGGGCATAAATACTACTTTTTAAAATAAAAAAAACTATAAACTGCTTTTCAAATTTTCTGTTTCAGATTGCCCTTCTTTAGTTAGTTGAGATTCTAAAAGTCAAAATTATGTTTTATGTAAATAAAATTTTATATACGTTTTGTGTATAACATACATATAGTTATAAATGAAAGCAGTACATTGGAGAAACTAGCATTTTCTTCTTAAAGAATCACCCTTATTTTAGGTCTGGGGATGTAGTTCAGTTGTTTGCCTGGCATGCACAGAGCTCTGAATTCAATCTGCAGTACTGCATAAACTGGCCGTGGTGGTTCATGCCTATAACCCCAGCACTTGAGAGATGGAGGCAGGAGGATTAGAAGTTCAAAATCATCCTGTGTTACATAACGAATTCAAAGCCAACCTGGGGTACAAGAGACCCTGTCTCAAAATAAACAAAAAGAAAAATAACAGATCACCCTTATTTTAATTGCTATTTTCTGTTTTCTCTTTTAGGACTATATATTCATCAAATATGAGCATAAAAAACTATGAAGAGGAAATTCTTAAGAGAATAACACTAGAAAGCGTAATGTCACAAAAGAAGCTTGACTTCAGTTTTCAAGACTGTAAAAGTGCATCTGAGTGTTCTCTTGAGAAGCATGAAGTTCCAAAGGACGTCACTGATAGCGACGACAGCTTCATTTACAGTGGTAAGATGCTTTGCTGGATTTTATATACTTTTATAGCCATGATATAATTAGAGAAAAGCACACTTAGAAAACTGCTCTACTGGTTTCTGTTGTCGTTTATTTTATTGAACGTGAAGAAGGGAGAACACTACTGTGGTCAGTCTCCAGTTTCCTCAAGTCATTGGAGATAGGATTATTATGAACAAATTTACATGTAACTCGCGATTTTATTTTCAGCCACTTCAGCCTCTGCATGTTCTTGTTCCTTTTCTAACCTATGCCAATAAGGAAAAGAAGTTTTAGCAAACATAGAGCCTAGTGCTAGCACAGCATTTAAGTTCCTTTTAAAAAAATACCATGGGGGTCTGGAGAGGTGGCTTGGCAGTTAAGAGCACTGGCTGCTCTTGCAGAGGACCTGAGTTCGGTTCCCAGCACCCACATGGCAGCTAACAACTATCCATATGTAGCTGCAGTTCCAGGGAATTTGATACCCTCTTCTGACCTTCATGGGTATTGCATTACATGGGTATACCTTACATACACGCAGGCAATATAGACATAAAATAAAAATAATAAAATATTTTTAAAATACCATGAAACACAAAAATTTCCATCACATAAAAACTACATGAAATAAGTTTTAAAAGATTTTAACCTAATAAAAATGGTAGCCTAGTTTTACACGTTAAATGCTTAAGAAATACATGCCTAATACTTATTGTACATAGCTATTACATATAGACAGTATTTCATCTTGAAAATGACTAGAAGTTTTCTTGTGGAAATAGGTGTCAGATTGAGAGTTATTTATGAATTGATGGAAAGAAGATAGGATAATTAGTCGAGCAGATATTCCAACACGAAGCCCAAGGTCCTTGGATCAGGGAATAGACCACGTATTACTCATGGAGTACCTTGGTGCCTGTCCTCTGCCATCAGACTCGATGAGATGATGTAGTGAGGGCCTGGGTTACCATGCTCTTGGAGTGAAATTTCACCACAGGAGAAAAACACCAGAATCACAAAACTAAGTTTTTCTAGGGTGCTGGCATGTCTGCCCATCATCCTCTATAAACAGGGGAAAGCGAGCCACCAGCTTTGACTTTGGAAGATAAAGAATCTGTGGAGAGGGAAGGGGATAATAGTTCTACTACCTGGAGTGTACAGAAATACCTTTTTGAGGAGGCAACTCTCTAAGTCTTTCTCTAGCAGTACATTTTCTTTAGCTTCCAAAAGATATTTTCTGCTTAATAATCACCTAGCCAAACTTCCCAGATCTCTGTTCAGGAAGGCCAGCTATGCAGACACAAAAATATTCATTGGAAATTGTCTTCTATAGTTGGTTATCTGAAATCAGATTGGAATCTGTATTATTACTATGGGTGTGGCTCATAGGATATACTGGGAACTAAGCTCTCTAGTAGGTGTTTTGGGGGCGTGAATGGGTCTTACATATGGCTCAGTTCAGCTGGGTAGGTTCAGTTTTTCATTGACCTAAACTGTACCTAAACAAATTCAAAATTTAGTAATGCTGAAATTAATTCCTAAAATATCATTTGTATTAGATCAAACTCCTATTTTCAAAACAAATGTTGCAGTAGAGTAGAGCATATTACTGTATATGAAGATGACTGTTAGCTAAAAGATCTTACTGGTCCTGTTACTGGTGTTTTGTGAGCAATAACAACCAAACTAATTTAATCTGGTTAGATTTCTTTCTTTTTTTTTTCTGTTTTTTTTTTTGAGACAGGATCTCTCTCTAGCCCCAGTTGGCCCAGAACTTGCTGTGTAGATCAGGCTGGCCTTGATCTCACAGAGATCTACCTGATTCTGCTAGGATCTACTTGCTAGGATCAAAGGTTTGTGCCACCACACCCTGCTAAATTTCTTTTATATTACGTTCATCATACCTAATTATGAATAAATGAATTCTAGACTGTGAAGTAGGCCCATTTACATGATTAATCTCATTTAGTTTTTCATAACCCTAAGAAGTGGTTACAGACCAATTTTATTGTTAAAGGTCTTTATACCCAAAGAGTGTAAAGGATGAAACTATACAGATAGAGCAATTGACTAGCTAGTATTTGATAACTCTTTTGTTGTTGTTTTGTTTGTGTGTTTTTGAGACAGCGTCTCACTATATAGCCCTGGCTAGCCTGAACATGCTATGTAGACCAAGCTGGCCTCCAATTCACACAGATTCGCTTTCCTCTTCAGGTGCTGGGATTAAAGGCATCAGTCACAGCCCCACCTGGCATTTGTCCTGACCCTCGATCTAGAGCTCTCAACCTCCTTTCCCCATTGCTCCAAGGGAAAACTCCTTGTTCACCCCACAAGCCACCTATTCCTGTTGAGTTATAGTCCTGTTAATTACTTGATGTTGCCCTCAAAGAAATGTACTCTGCGTCTTTGTACTTGCTGCTTACTCTTAGAATGTCATTCTAGTCAGTTACTAAGTCTTTTGAGTATCTACTTTGAGGTACTTTTAAAGCTATGAAAATGAGCAAAGCCTAGTTGGAGATACAGTCAGGTGGGTAAGGTACAGGTTAAGAGAACACAAATAGAGCACGTGTCACCTGGCTTCTAGAGAAAGTTGCATGGTGGAAGTGACTTCTTTTTATTCTGAGCTCATAGAGATCTGCCTGCCTCTGCCTCCCAAGTGCTGGGATTAAAGGCATGCGCCACCATACCTGGCCTGAGCCCTCTTTTTATCCTCAGCCCTCTTCATATTTTTATTCTAAGACAAGGTTTCACTAAGTTGCCAAGACTGGCCCTGAATTCACCTGTAACCCAGGCAGGCCTTGAACTTTATATCTTCCTGCCTCAGCAAGACTTATAGGCTTATGTCACCAGGCACTGCATGAGCTTGCTTCTCAGCTGAATCCCAAAGAAAAATTAACTCAGCAAAGCCATGTTAAGTGAAGGTTAGTCCAAGCAGAATAATCATTATTCTGTGTTTGGAAGCAGAGAAGGTCAGACATATAACTTATTTGGGAAACCAAATTTGCTTATTATGGAAATAGAAAGGGTTAGGAGACCGGAAGGGATGCAGTTAGAGATTTGAGCTTGGAGATGTAAGCAGAATCCACATAAAGAACAATCATCTAGGAAGAACCACTTTGTATTTGTCCAAAGTAGGGGACTTTGAGAGGGTGAAAGGGTTGCTGTAAGACATCTCTGCCTTGTTGTTCATAGAGGATTGGTCCCAGAACCTTCCCTCACCCAGAATACCAAAATCTGCTGATGGACTTACATTCCTTCTGTGGAAGGGTATAGATTTGCATACCATCTGTTCACATCCTCCTGTATGCTTATCATTCCTGGAGTGCTAATAATGCCTAATCCAGTGTAAATAGCTATTACATTGTTGTTTAGGGAGTACTAACAGGAAAAAAGTCAGTACATGTTCAACACAGATGTAACTATTCTAGGCTGCCAGGAATCAAGGGACTAAGACCAAATGTATGTATGTATTTTATTACACGATACTGTGGTATAGTCAAATTCAGTAGACTATTTGAGGACATAAATGGGAGTTTCAATACTTTAGTATAATCTACCAAATTAATTTTGTTTTCTTTGATAAATTTTTAGATTTTTTTATTTGTGTCAAGAAAAATTTTTTTTTTCACTTTTTTTCCATTAAATTTTCTAAAGGAATTGGAGAAGCATGGCTGCAGAGGTGGCTCAGTGGTTAAGAGCACTGACTGTCCTGGCAGAGGACCCAAGTTCGATTCTCAGCACCCACATGGCAGCTAACAACTGTCTGTAACTCCAGTTCCAGGGGATCTGACACCCTCTTCTGACCTCCATGAGCATTGCACAACATAGGTGCACTTGCGTACATGTAGGCAATACACTCATACACATAAAATAAAAATAGTAAATAAAATATTTAGAGAAGTGTTATGGAAATAAGGGAGTTGAGAGACCAAGCATTTACTCGGAGGGTTAGAGAACTCAGATTTTATTTACATCAGTGGTCCCAGCTAGTGTTCTGAAGTTCTGGGTGTGAATTATAGGTTTGCACAGGTTAAACTGCTAAAATGTTGGTAGATTCAAATTGCAGCCTATGTGACTTCAGCACAGATGCCTACATGTCCCAAGACACCTGAGGGGAAATTCCTTCTGCAGGCATGCTTGCAGAAGCAGATTTTAAGGGGAAGGGTTAAGACATTCTTTAACCACAGAATTTATCATAGGTACCTTAGCTAAATAACTGTTCTTTCTCAAGGCAACTTTGAGGCCTTTGATGTTCTCCATTTTAGTGAGTATTCATAAAACCAGTATAAGGTGAGCTCTGTGTGGTAAAGTATAATATTAGTCATTAAATGATATAAACAGTATCAGACATGCACAAAAGTGGCATTAAATGCATGGGTGTGCTGCTTTTCCTTCTCAGAAGTAGAATTTTCTATTTCCTGCTGCTTAATTCTGTTGGGAGTTTTGATTTTTCTTTAGAATTTATTTATTTTTATTTTATATGTATGAGTGTTTTTCCTGCATGTATATAAATGCATCCATGTCATTCAGTGCCCACGAAGGCCAGAAGAAGGCGTCAGATTCCCTGGAACTAGAGTTATGGGTAGTTGTTAACCGCCATGTGGGTGCTAGGAACCAAATATGGCTCTGCAAGAGCAGTCAATGCTCTTAACTGCTGAGCCATCTCTCCAGACCCTTCTTTTAGAATTTTTGTATATAATATTTAATATATTAATTAGCAAATATTTATTGAGGATCTGCTTTGTGTCAGGCACTGTTGTATATCAGAGGAATGACTGAAATGAATTTCTAGCTCTTTTGTGCCTTGTCTTCTGGTCCGAGAGTAGAGTGAGAGGAAGGGTAAATAATAAGCACGGTAAAGAAAGTTGGCGTGTTATACCACAGAAAGGGTTTTAGGAAATATAGTGATTGAGTTGTAGCTAAAATTCCTTTTGGGAGACACAAATCATGTTCAGACCCCTCCTCCCTTGGTCCCTATGACAAACTGAGGTACAGTTTCACCAAACTACAATCTGGGGAACCAGTGATTTTATTGAGCTTACTTACAGAGCAGTGGGTGAGAGTTTACTTTCAGGAGTGTGGGTGCTCCCCTCCTAAGGCCACACTGGAAAGTCTCCAGTCTTCCACACTGGAAGTCATTATCCATGGATAATGACTTCCTCACAGCTGTGCAAAATGGTGAGAGACCCTCCCTATGGCATCCTCAGCTTATATACCCTTAGCCTCTCCCCCTCGAGCACCTAGGGCTGACTGGTTGGTTGGGAGATATGGCTGACTCTCACTGCCCCTTCTTTCTTGCAGAGAGCAACAGTCAACAAGTTTGACTGTGATGATCCTAGGCAAGAGGCTCAACCAAGCTTGGGAAGAAGGCACCTGTCCATAGTCTGCTGGTCAGAGGACAGCTCTATGCAACAGTTGTAATTTTAGATATGACAATCAGGTTCAGCCTTGTTGAATAAGAGGTGGTTAAAGATTTAGAAAAGGTAGGGGAAGGGCTGGAGAGATGGCTCAGTGGTTAAGAGCACTGACTGCCCTTGCAGAGTCCTAGGTTCCACTCTCAGCATCCACATGGCAGCTAACAACTGTCCATAACTGTTGTTCCAGGGGATCCTACACCCTCTTCTGACCTCCATGGGCACTGCACGACATGGGTGCACTTATATACATGCAGGTAATACACTCATATACATAAAAAATTAGAATAATAAATATTTTTTTTAAAAAAAGAAGAAAAAAGTGGGGGAGTTTAGCCATTAGGATGTCCTAGAGAAGAATGTTTAATGCAGAAGGAGTGCTCAGTACAAAGATCTGAAGGTGAGGATGTTCTTCCAGGTTGGAGAAATGAGAGTTCACTATAGAAATAAAGTAGTAGGTACTTGTTCTAGTTACTTTCTGTGGCTCTAATAAAAACACTGACCAAAAACAACTTGGGGAGAAAAGGGTTTATTTGGCTTACAGTCCATCATCAAGGGAAGTCAAGGTAGGAACTCAGTGCAGGAACCTGGAGGCAGGAGCTGAAGCATGGCTTCAGTGTTCCATGGAGGAACACTGCTTACTGGCTTGTTCCCCTGGCCAGTGCTCAGCCTGCTTTCTTATACAACATAGAACTGCCTGTTCAGGGGTGACACTGCCCACAATAGGCTGGGCCCATCCACCACAATAGGCTGGGCCCATCCACATCACTCAACATTCAAGAAAATACCTTAGAGACATGGCCACACACCAATCCAATGGAGGAAATTCCTCATTTGAAGTTCCCTCTAGCCAGGTGTGTCAAGTTGACAACTGAAGCTATCCAGCACAGTACTGGACTCAGAAAAGTAATGGGAAGCCAAATGCTGTGGGGTCTTGTAGCACAATACTAAAGACTTTGGCTTTTAACTAGAAGAAATGGAGTAAGCTATAGGAAAGTTCTTGGACTATGATCTAAATTGCTGGGGTTTTTTGTTGTTGTTGTTGTTTTTTGGGGGAGGTGTTGATTTTTGTTGGTTTGGTTGGTTGGGGTTTTTTTGGTCTTTTTGAGACCGGGTCTCCCTGTAGCCATAGCTGGCCTGGAATTCACTATGTAGACCAGGCTGACCTCAATCTCACAGAGATCTGCCTGCCTCTGCCTCTTGAATGCTGGGACTAAAGGCGTGTAGCACCACACCCAGCTGAATTGCATTTTGAAAACATGCTTGTGAATGCTTTGTTGAAAACAGATTGAGGGGATCAGGAGTGGAAGACTTTTTAGGAGACTGTTGCAGAAATGCAGAGGAAGAAGGATGGTAGCTTGGACTCATCACAGTTCAAGTGTTGAGTAGCATTTGGATTCTAGATCTCCCTGGGTCGTACACATGATTTTTTTTCATTCTTGTTTGTACTCTACAAATTTCTTTAGTGGTTATCTGTTACCAGTGACTAGTCTTCATCAGATGTGGCTGCTGAAAGAAAAATTTTTGATCAAGTACATTTAACTGTTTATTTGAACAAGGAACAATTCATGAATCAGTCAGCATTTAGAACCAAGGTGGGCCATATTTATAGATAGAGTGTTAGATAAAGAAAGAAGAGAGGCATGGCAGGCTAGCTCGTGAAAAGAGCTAACATAAATTACCCTTCAGAAATCAGCTTTATTAGGAGAAAGGACTGAGACCATGGGAGTCATCAGGACTCGAGAGCATTAAAAAGGGACAGTACATCATGTCAGAGATGACATAAATGGAGACTCAAAGGGAAAGAGTGCCTTATTTCTAATGGGTACACTTACATACATGCAGACAGTGCATTCATACACATAAAAAAATGAATTAAAAAAAACTTTAGCGAGGCTTGGTGGCACACACCTTTAATCCCAGCACTTGGGAGGCAGAGGCAGGTGGATTTCTGTGAGATGGAGGCCAGCCTCTTCTACATAGTGAGTTCCAGGCCAGCTGGGGTTGTGGGGAGACCCTGTCTCAGAAAAACAAACTGAAAAAAGGACAGTGCATCATAAATGGAGTTTCAAAAGAAAAGAGAAGCTTCTCTCTAAAACCTGGAGAGGAGTTTCATTAAAAGGGATAGCTTAAAGTAATGGTAAGAGAGCTGCAGTTAGGGGGCTAAGGGGTGGGGCGATAGCTGTAGCCTGATTTCTTTAGGCTGTGGGATCTCACCTCTTAGTATTACCAACATCTTAAAGGGACAGGTCCATGATCTAACATAGAACATAAAGGTAAAATACAGAAATAGCTTAATTGGTTACACCTAGGCCTTTAGGCCTTTACCTTATTTAAACATAATCTTATCAGTTGACTACTTGTGATTAGGTTTGGCTGCTTGTAATTGGTTAAGATTTGGCTGCATTACCAAAAATATATACCCCTGAGTTAGGTTTAACTTACTAAGTGAGGTGGTAGTTCATTGTGTAGGATCTCAAAATATGCGAATAGTCTCAGGTCATATTTGATTTAGTACAGTGTAACATGTGCATGCTATGATATACCAGTGATCTATATCATATTTATGAATATGATATACAACATATTTTTCTTTCATTGTGTATTTTTCATTATACTGTTTATTTCTATAGTTTGCTTCCTACTACCTAAGAAGTGAATCTCTGGAAGAAATGTCTTTTGAAATACTTATTTTTCTATACTTCTTCATGCCCTGTATTGTGCTAATCTTACAGTAAGTGCTTAAATGATTTCTGTTGATTTCAGTTGGCTTTCTATCAGCTTACATGTCATTCTAACTGTATATTCATGAAGTTGTATATATTAGTCATCTTTCTGTCATTCTGTCGTAGCAAAATGCCTGAGATAATTTATTAAGAGAAAAAGTGGGTCTGGAGAAATGGCCCAGCAGTTTAAGATCATCTACTGCACTTGCAGAGGACCCACGTTCAGTTCCCAATACCCAATTCCTAAAATTCACAATTACCTGTAACTCCAGCTCCAGAGGATCCAACACCTTCTTCTGGCTTCCATGGGCACCAGCACACACACACACACACACACACACACACACTCAATATCACATAAATCTTTTTTTTTTTAAGAGAAAAGTTTATTTTGCCTCACAGTTTTAGACCTATTGCTTTGAGCCGCTGGTAGACATACTGAATGGAAATGGTAGAGGGCACCTGACAGAACAAACTGCTCACCTAGGAATCAAAAGAGAAAAAGAAGGGCTGGGTATTGCAGATTCCTTGGTAGAGTGATGGCTTACTACTCACAAAGTCCTCGGTTTGATCCAGAGTACCACAGGAACCAGTTATGGTGGTGCACACCTATAGTCCCAGCACTTGGAAGGTAGAGGTAGAGACTAGGAGTTGAAGGTTGTCCTTGGCTGTGTAGCTACATGAGACCTTGTCTCAAAAAAAAAAAAAAAAAAAAAAAAAAACAAAACCCAAAAAATCAAGGGTGAGAAGAGGCTAGAGTCTCATAATCCATCTCGGGGCACACTTCAGTGACCTAAGGACCTCCCATCTGGTCCCTCTAAAAGTCCATAGTATATCCAGTAGCTCTGATAGCACCACTCTGGGAGCCAGTCCTTTTACAGATGGACCTCCAGAAGACATTCAGACTTTAACAGAGGAGATAGGTAGGAACTAAGTATTAGAAAAGAACTTTAATATTAGAAAATTTTCTAACTTTCTAATTCAGATGTTCATGAAATAAATTCCTTTTTGGTACATGATATTTTGATAATTATATTTAAACATAACTAAATTTTAAGGTATGTCTATAAGTGTTAGAAATACATTCTTCATTGTGTGACACGAATGTACTTACATGCAGGCAATACACATAAAAATAACATAATAAATTTATAAAAAGAAATACATTCTTTAAAGTAGGAAGTGTAAATGATTTATACATTTTTGCTTTATTTTGAATTTGCTGCTTAAATATTCTAGCTAATTGAGATAATGATGTAGAAAACCTCTTGATAGCATTAGAAGAAACCGGGGGATGTTTACACTATTAAAGGGGCTATTTTTAGTTATCTTCTTCTCTTTTAAAGATCATTATGACTTGGAACCTGCATCTGAATTAGGAGAAGAGCTGTTGAAGCTTTATGTGAAGTGTTGTTGTCCCGACATTGATATTTATGTTGATGGAAAAACTTTTAACGCTCACAGGTAAATAGATAACAATTGGTTTGGTGTCTTGTTGCGACAGTAGCGTGGAGAAGAGTAGGTGTCCTTTCCTAACACAGTGGTTTTCAAGCTTTTGTTCCTATAGACCACGGGGCTTCACAGTGATTCCTCAGGGGATCAGAACTCGCAGGGGAAGCAGCTGACCAGCAGACATGGTTTTCTACCTGTAGGTTCACTTGTGTACATGTGAGTTCCACCCAGATACAGTTTCAGCCAGAGAAAATCCACTCATGTCTATTCTTTGCATTGGACATTAACCTGAGGTTTCATCGGGAGAAAGTGTTTTGCCTAAAATAGGTTTGAAAGCCACTGTCATAGAAAATGCAGTTAAATGTAGTTTTTAATTTCATAGGCATAGTGATGAGAATGCTTTTTTCTACACAAATGGCATGCATTTTCTTTGAATGCATTTGGGCTCAAATTCTGTGATTCAGATTAGAGGATATTCATGAATAGCATTGATTAGGAGGTTTGATGTTTCAGTGTACTTTTTAAAAGCTATTGTTCTGCTCTAGAATTGGGCTGCTTAGATATCACAGGCTTTTAGATTTCAAGTTAAAATCTGCTGTCTGTTTTGATCAGGCACTTTTGATTGTAAGTAACTAAAATTTGCTTAAAAGAAGAAAAAAATATTAGAATACAGATAATCTGTTGGAACTTGAGGGAAAGAAATACAGCTGGACCTCACTGTGGACTAGAACCATCCAGCAGCTGAGGAGCCCAAGTTCTCCCTTCCATATTTCAATATGAATGCTGATAAGTTATTCTCTGTGCTTCTAAAGAAGACAAACCAGACTCTGCAGAGAGGTGTGTGTTGTGCATGTTTGGGTGTGTATGTATGTGGGTGCTCATGCACATAGATACCCGTGTGTGGAACCCTGAAATTGACATCAAGTGTGTTCCTTGATCACTCTCCACTATGTTTATTGAGGCAGTGTTTCTAACTGAGCCTGGAACTTCCCAATTGTAGCTAGTCTGACTGGCCAGCTTGCCCTAGGGATCACCTGTCTCTGCCTCCTGAGTGTTGGAATTGTAGGCAGACACTGCATCTATGCTGGGAATCAGAACTCTGTTGCTTACTCTTGTGTGGAAGTGCTTTATCCTCTAAGCCATCTCAGCCCAAAATGCAGTGTCTGAGGCTATGGCCTTAATAAAATTAGCAGTAGGTTTAGAATTGAAGAGGCCACCAAACTCAGAAATCTCATTTATTGGTTTGCCAGTTAGCAGTGTTCTAACTCTGGATTCCCAGTTTGAATGGGACTGCTGCTAAGAAGTCGATGTTTCCGATATATGTGCATACATATAAGCATTCTCCTAATTGTAAATGTTAGTATTGCCAAAGTCTAAATACATAGCCCTGACTGGCCTCAAACTCAAGATCCTTTTACCGCAGCCTCTTGAGTGCTGGAATTATAGATGTTCACAGCTATACCTAATTATTGTGAAATCTGCTTTATTATAATACAAAACTCGATAGAGATTAGTCAGTGTCTTCTGAGTCATAGGTATATATTTCCTAAGTCATGGGATGTTTTCTCTCTCTCTCTCTCTCTCTCTCTCTCTCTCTCTCTCT